ACCGGGCACAAGCGGCCGCACCCCGAGCCCGCCGCCCGCATCGGCACCCACGACGGCACCTTCCACTGCGACGAGGCGCTGGCGTGTTTCCTGCTGCGCCTTCTGCCCCGCTACCGGGTATGGTCCCGCGTGTGGCGGCACCGGAACGGGACGGGGGCACCGTGCGGTGCCGGGTTCCGAAGTCTTCCTCCGGGTCCCGTTACCGGGGCGCTCGTCTCGGGGTTGCCGGTCCCACCTGGGGTCACCTCCGAGTCGCCGGACCCGTTTAGGGACACTTGAGCCCATCCAGCGGCCGCCGTTGTGTCCCTGGGGGGTCACCCTTGTGTCCCCATTCCCTCCTCGGGGTCACCCTTATCTCCCCGACCCCCTCCCCAGGGTCCCTCCTCGGGGTCCCTCCTCACCAGAAGCAGCTACCGGGGGGTCCCCGGTGGCCCTGGGGACCCTGAGCCCCGCTGTCCCCCGCAGGACGCSGAGATCGTGCGGACGCGGGACCCGCAGCGCCTGGCCAGCTGCGACGTGGTGGTGGAYGTGGGGGGCGAGTACGACCCGGGGCGACACCGCTATGACCACCACCAGAGGTGAGACCCGTCCCGGGGCCAGTGGTGGCCCCGGSGGTCCCCAGGGTGACCGCGTGGCCCCGCAGGTCTTTCAAGGAGTCCATGCGGAGCCTGCGGCCAGACAAGCCCTGGAGCACGAAGCTGAGCAGCGCCGGGCTCGTCTACTGCCACTTTGGCTCGCAGATCCTGGCGGGGCTCCTGGGGCAGCCCGAGGACGGGCCCGTGGTCACAGCGCTCTATGACAAGGTGACAGAGGTGACAGGGGGTGACAGGGGGTGACAGGGGTGCCAGGGGTCGGTCACTCTGCCGTGGTCACAGTCCTGCCCAGGGCTTGTCCTCGTTGGGGTAAGAGGGGACCAGTTCGTGGCAGCAGTTGGGCTTCCAGCCAGGCTGAGCTCTGCTGTCCCCTCCCTGTCCCCACTATCCTATTCCTGTCCCCTCAYTGTCCCCACTGTCACCAGCTCTACGAGAACTTCGTGGAGGAGATCGATGCCATCGACAATGGGATCGCGCAGGCAGAGGGGGAGCCCCGCTACGCCCTGACCACCACACTGAGCGCCCGCGTGGGGCACCTCAACCCACGCTGGAACGACCCCGAGCAGGACACCGAGGTGGGGATGGGCCCTGCGGCTCCTGGGGACACCCCACGTGGGGACATCCCGCTCGGGGACACCACTGACCCCCCATATCCCCAGGCGGGCTTCAGGCGGGCCATGGAGYTGGTGGGCACTGAGTTCCTGGAGCGGCTGGATTTTTACCAGCGGGCCTGGCTGCCCGCACGGGCGCTGGTGGAAGAGGCTGTGCAACGCCGCTTCGAGGTAACACAGCCCGGCCTGGGGGGAAATCTGGAATTCTGGGGGAAATTTGGGGTGTGAGGAGGAAAAATCCCCTCGGTAGAACCCTTCTGGAGCTGCCTTTGCACCCCAATATCCTGTGTGGCCCTTGTGTCCCTTTGGGAGGGGGCTCTGAGATTTTGGGGCTGCCGAACCCAGGGTGGTTTCTGGAGTCACTCCCCATGTCCCCTGCAGGTTGACACCAGCGGGCAGATCCTGGAGCTGTCCCAGGGTGGCTGTCCCTGGAAGGAGCACCTTTTCCAGCTGGAGCAGGAGCTGGCGCTGCCCAGGCCGGTCCAGCTCGTGCTGTTCCCAGACCGGGGCGGGCAGTGGCGGGTGCAGAGCGTTCCCACGGCTCCTCACTCCTTCCAGAGCCGGTGAGACCCTTCCCCTGGCCCTGGCACTGTCCCCACCGTGGGGAAGGGTCACTCAGCCTCTCTGTCCCCCCCACAGGCTCCCCCTGCCCGAGGCCTGGCGGGGAATTCGGGACGAGGCGCTGTCCGAGCTGGCCGGAATCCCCGGCTGCGTCTTTGTCCACGCCAGCGGCTTCATCGGGGGGAACCGGACCCGGGAGGGGGCCTTGGCAATGGCCCGGAGGGCGCTGCAGCTCGGGGGGGATGCACAAAGAGGGTGAGCCCCCTCCCAAACGTGGTCACCCCAAAAGGGACTCTCTGGCTCGGTGTGGGGTCCCTGGGATGCCACAGGGACCGTTCCTGCTCGGATCACGGATTCTCCGCGGGATCTGCTGTGCTTTGGGGGAGGAAGAGCCCCTCCCGGGGGTCTCAGAGCACCCACCCCATGCTGGGCGGGTGCCAGCCCGGCCAGAGACGTGTTGGCTCCGTTTCTTTGGAGTTTGTCCCTGTTCCTGTCGTGTCCCTGTCAGCACCAGTAAAAACCAGCATGTGCCCAGTGGATTTGGTGTGGGGGGCTGAGGGGGTCTGGGCGGGGCTGTGACACTGGGGGGGCTGTGTGTGACACTGGGGGCGTTGCTGTGAGTCAAGCACAGCTTGACGTCGGGTCCCCACGCTGTCACCAGCACCGAGGAGGGGTCACAGAGTGTCCCCTCCCTCCCCCTGTCCCTCGGTCCCCGCCCATCCCCGGGCCA